GGTGAATTTCAATGGTGAAGTCCTCTGGAAATCTTCAATAATTGTTGTTGATTGCAGATGTGTCTAGTAGTTCCCATTGATTTAGCTGTAAAGCGGGGAGAATGGCGCTAGGCTTACCGCACCGTGACGTCACAGTGTGGTAGATGTCAGGAGGGAGGGGTTATGTATTTGGGCAAAAATGGCCGCTCCCAGACTCTGTGATCATAACGAAAATGATTGCTTTTATTTTTTACTGATTAACACAAAATTCATTAAAAATGTCAGGACTCCAGTTTTTGTGTTTGTCTGTTTTTCTTGTTTTTTGTGTTTCTCCCTTCCACCACCAGGAGGCGCCTGGCTCTGGTCCGCCTCCTCACACAACTGCTAACGGTTACCTCATCACCAGGACTGCTCTTAAGCTGCTGGTTGCCACTACCTCGGCGCCAGAGTGTTTGCCAGTTTGGGGTACTCTAGCCAAGCCTTGTTTATTCTGAGCCTAATCTGAGTTTTTGCATTTCAAGTTTTTGTCCTCTAGCCAAGCTGAGATCATATTGAGTTTGACTTAGTGCTTGTCTCCCTGAGATTCAACTCTGTTTGTTTTTGCCGTTCCGGACCGCCTTCTCCCAAGTGGGATCAACTGAGTCTTACACTGAGCGACGGATTCCAAACAGGAGGTTGTGATCCAGCCCCTTTGAGAACTCTCTCTGAGTAAGGAAGTCATCTTCACCACGATCCGTTCAAGTACCACAGGAAAACTGAGTTGCAACCAGCGGCTGCATCATTCCACTCCGTCCGAGTTCTGGGTAAACCCTGTTCCGCCCTCCACCGAATCAGACAAACTCTGGAAGACCAACACACAGACTGGAGTCTACGTGTCTCTTCTTCTCTGGAAACGTGAGTGGCATCAAATCCTTTCCTTCAAGATTAACAACTCCAATTTCCCACTGAGCCTGAATCTAAGAGTCTGTCTTCCCCTCGCCTTCCAGTTTCCGGCTGAGCAGAGTTTGGAGGAACTCTGCACCGAACTCAAAATACTCTTCAATAAAACCCATTGAACTTTTACTCTGTTTCTCTCTGTTTGGCTTTACTGCATGTTGGTCCAAGCCTTAGATAAAATCATGACAAAATAAACGCAAACTTATTAGTTTTAGGTATAGATAATGATCCAGTGATTATTTCTTGCTGATCGGACTTTTCCTTTAAAAATAAAAAACTAAACCATCAGGATAAATATGAATCAGGATAAATGCCTTCTAGGTAAAAAATTTCAGCTTTGGACCCCATTGCCCTCCTGCTGGAACAATACATGACAGCAACAGAATAAAAAAAATGAAGAAGCCCTTCTACTTAAATAACTTAAAGAAATGCTGACGCTGCAGGAAAAGGAATCCTGGAAGTCCAAAGGAACAGCAGAGAGATGGATAGATGGAGGTTCTTCAGGCAGCTGACCTTCCCAACATCCAAGCTGCTGTGTCCTTTGTCCTCAGCATCCCATCTTCCACTGGTTTTGTAGGGAGGATTTTATCCTTACTGAAGAAGAAATGGCCTGATGTTCGGAACAAATGATCCACTGAATGAATTAAAGCTGAGCTCATTGACAGCTTCAATTATGAACCGTCTTGATCAGAGTTTTACTCTGCAGCACTCAAAGACAAACAACTCCTCACTGCTGCAAGAGCTCAGAGGAAATACAAGTGGAAAAAGTCGGCTATCGCCACCTTATGTGGCACTGAGCTAATGATTTTTTTTGTTCTGTTTTATAACTGTAGCCTACAGTCATTGCATTTAAGGCACAAATATGTTTACAAGTTTGCACAAGTTCGCTGTTGCACCAAAAATGAGCACTGTTTATTTTATTATCAGGACAGGCTTGTGTTTAAGATACTTATTTTATTCAGCAAAGTTTGTTATTTTGGATTAAAGTAAATTGCTGGATAATAACTTGTTTTCCATGTGTTCATGCGACTCACAGATATGCATCTAATTCAATGCAGATTTAAGTCAAATAGTTAAATAAATAATAATTTCGTACACAAAGGGGGGGCAGAAAAAAAAAATCTCCACGCCAGGAGGGGTAAAGGCAATCTGGTCAGCTGGGACGTACAGCAGGTGACCCTTTTTTTTTCAGGGAGTTGGCAACCATAGGGTTAAGATTGACAGTAAATTCTTCCTGGTAGTTGTGGTGATATTTATGGGATGAATCATTTGATGCCTGATGATGTTAATGTTTAGGACCTCCTGCCAGTAGGACAACCTTAGTCATGCTCCATGTTTTTCCAGGCAGGACTGTCTGCGTGTTTTAAACCTCATAGTTCTGGGTGTAATAGAAGAAAATACAAACGTTCCTGGCACAGAAAAAAAGTTAGTTTTACTCCAAGGCTTCAGAGGCCAATGTGTGGACTCACATGTAGCGCAGGCTGGGGTTTCTGGAGAAAACCTGTGGATGGAGGGTTTGCAGGCCGCTCCGGGTTATGGTTCTTTTAGAAACACATTCAGAGAAAGAAGAACAGAAAACATCAATACAGAAGACAGAGAGAGTTCACTGCAGAGTAGGAAAAGCATTTGATGAAAATGTTGAAGAGATTCTGTCAGAGGGAGGCAGTAGGTTCGTGCAGCACAGACGAGATGGATCACAGCAGATTCTAAGACAAGAACATTTTAATGGG